CCCCCCCCCCCCCCCCCCCCCCCACCAAAACACCCCCTGTTGCCTCTCCCCCGGTTTTTTTTTTTTTTACTCCGCGCCCGGGGGGGGGGGGGAGGAATCACAGAATTTCCAGTGACGCTCCTCTCTTAAGAACAGTCCTAACTAGTAGGAGGAAAACTTTGGGTGAAACACCTTCTTGATTCCTTTTATTGGCACTTGATTGTATACAATGTGGCCTCCCCCTTCTGAAGTGGATGAGATCTGTGCATCAGACCATTATCCAATTAAATGTGTTTTGTTTTATGATGCACATGTAATTCAAAAAATAAGCATGGGCTTTAATTTACTTCCCTTCAAAAGCTTTTCTTATTGTTTATACTTTGCTGCTGTACAAGTTACGTTGTTATGTGTCATGAACTGCGTTTTTACAATGCATGAAATTCATGCTAAGTTAATGCAGAAAATAGGCACGCTATCACTTGTTTACTTTCTTTTATTACATCTTTTCTTCCAGGCTACTTCAGCATTAGCTGGCTTGCTAGAAGAAGATGTTCTTTCCACGGACAGTCGCCTAATCGATAATGCATGGAGAGGGGCTGAGGCTTACCATTTTTTTATTCTTGCCCAAAGGCAGTTGTATGAAGGTTATGTGGATACAGCAATGAAAACAGGTATGATAACTCCTTGTGAAATACTGCCTTTTTTCACTTTGGAATCATGATTCACTCTGTTCCAAAGTTTCATGGTGCAATTTTTGCATTACATGTCCAGTGCTTAACCAAATATTTTCAATTTCCCTATTATATTCTTGAAGTCTGGGAAAATTCTTTCCACAAAAGAAACCCCACTGAAATTGCTAAAGATCTAAAACTCTTAGCTTGAATCATTTATGGATATTGACCACTTAAGTGGTCAACTATTGTATTCTAGATGTTGAACTGCATTTCTTCCAGTTTTCAGATGTAGTATAGATATTAGAGTTCTCCTGTATGTAGAAGTTTCCTATTGCTTGTATTAAACCACTTCATACTGTGGATCACAATAATTGGGTGTCAGCCAATGATTTTAATACATTAACATACTTGTACTTATATAATTAAACTGCTTATTTAATTTAATAGATGGGTATGTTGTGAATCTGTTGCTTTCTACTTTAACAGCTCTTCACTTGAGGGATTACGAAGACATTATTCCTGCAGTAGAAATCTATTCCCTATTGGCTCTCTGTGCATGTGCTAACAGAGCATTTGGTACCTGTTCAAAAGCTTTCGTTAAACTGGAATCTTTAGAAAATCTTGGTCCAGACCAGAAGCAGCAATATGAAGAACTTGCCCTGCAGATATTCACAAAACACTATCCTAAAGATAGCAAAAAATCAGAGTTGGATGGTCTTCTTGAAGAGTAAGCTTAGTCTTTCTTGTAATTGCAATACAATATCCTGATTTTGGTGGAAATCAGTGGTGCGTGTTTAGCAGCAGAATAAATATTGCAGGTGGTACAGATTCTCTTTTACCCTTCAGTTCTGTCTGTCCCCGAAATCTGTTTTGATTAAGGGAGAAAAACATGGGAGAAGGAGAGGACAGGATTCTCTTTGCATTAACAGAAAGCCTTCTTGTACAGTGTTGAATATTGTTCTTTATATAGGTAGTCCTTGTTCAGTGACCATTCACAGTTACAGTGGTGATGAAAAAGTAACTTTGTGACCAATCCTCGTATTTATGACTTTCGCAGGTCTGTAAAGCAAAGGAAAGCTGAAATAAGATCATAAGCACAGTCGCAGTTTCACTTAGTGACTGCTTCACTGAGTTGCCGGTCCCAATTATGGTTGCTAAATGAGGATCACCTGTACACTGCATTTTTAATTTTAAAAATAATTGTCCTATGCATTGCAATTCAGGCTTCTTTTTTATATCAGTTAGATCTGTTGTACACTGATGAAATGTTTGTAATCCACACTTGTAATCCTAGGTTTGAATGAATGGCTAATATAGTTCTATACCATTGACATCTTGTGATACTAATTTTCTTCCTTGTGTTTAATAGGGGAGAAGGGAAGCTTCCAACATGTGTTGCTACAGGAAGGCCCATCACGGAGTATCAGTTTTGGATGTGCAATGTGTGCAAGCACTGTGTGCAAGCTCAAGAAATCAGCAACTATAACTTCTGCCCTCTCTGCCACAGTTCTGTGGCCTATTAAATTATGTGGGTGAAAGCAACAACTTGCATCCATTAGTGGAAGTACTTATTGCTGGAGGAACTGGGAGGGGGAGAATTCCCCTCATAATAGTTTTTGGTGCATCCTCCAAAGTTGTTCCAGATGCTCTCCAAGTCACCTAATGCAGATTTGGAAAGCAAGGAAGGAACTACAAAGGGAAAGGAAGAAGGATTAAAAAATGGGATCCTGATAGTGTCTTTATGCATGAAGAGTAGAAATATACATAGTCTGAAGTATTGAAGATAGTTATAAAGAAGGATAAGCTCCCCCCAAAAAACAATTAAATTCATCCACTCCTACAAAAATGCTAAACTGATCTGAATCCAGCCTTTAAAATAGCCAACCAGAGGAGGCATTTTTAAAAAAGTGTAAACAATGATTTGATACAAACTTTTGTTTGTCCTAATTTATTCTTTGCAGAGCTTTGCAATATTTCTTTGCATAATCTTAATTTTTTTAATTTATATTCTAAATGCGGAGTAGAACATTTTTGGAAAGATTGTGGGGAAAGTAGTGATGAATTTTTGTGGGAAAGAACTACCGTTAATAGCCTTGACTTAACAGCAAACGTCGCGGTTACTTTTGCACTGAAAATCGTAACTCAATAATATTTGTATAAAATAAATATACAAATGCCACTTTTTAAGCTCTTCACTGAAAAGATATCACAGTTTAGTCTAAAATTTTAAAATATGGGCATGTAACCCAAATAAAATACATGGATTGGTTTTAGCTACACTTGAAGCACTATCTAAATATTAAAATCTCTTTGATCAGCCGTGGGGCATTGATGGCAGAAGTCCAAACCTTCTGAAATAGCTTAGACTTTACATACAGGGTTCTCAGGCCAATTCAAGGCATGACCTCTTCTAGGAAAAGGCTGGGAGAGGTCCATAACAAAAGGAAATGTTTGAGCCAGTTAACGACAGTATATATGGGGCTATTAGCCCTTTCGCCCCCTTTCCCCTGCTCGGACTCTTCCTTTCAGTTTGCCTTTCAATAGCACGATCTCCAAAAGTAGCAAAGAATTTTGCAACATGAACTACTGGATTACAACAGCATAGCTAACAGAAGCCTTGTATAAGAGCTGACTGAATTATTTTATCACTTGAGTGTTTAATAGAAACACATTTCTTACATAGTAATGGTGAAATATTTGTATATTTCACCATTTGCTCCAGGATTTTGCTTATGTTTGTTGTTTTATATGGGAAAAGAACAGTTTCTTTTTACAACAATATTTATATAGCCTACATTTTTTTTCTCTATAATATTGAAATAGATTTTTAAAAGAAATAAATCAATGTTATATTTTTCCATGAAGGTGAAACAACTGCAAAAGTGTAGAAAACTAAACAATAAAATGCAAAAATAAATTAAAAAGTGGTGTGGACAAATAAATACATGGTTTATTACATAAAATATTATTAGATATATTATCCTGAAAATTGTTACGATAATTAAAATAATTTCCAAATATATTCTGCATTCCTATTCTGTAGATATTTTTTGAGCTCATTTTTCGGTAAATTAAACATAAAAATTCACATAAGTGTTTCTGTTTTACACAATCAATGAAGATAGGCATTCCCATGTGTGTCTTCCACTGTTTCTCTTATATGTAAATTGCCCAGAATACATGATATGGAGCAATACATAACCACTTAAAATTAATTAATTAATCAATTACAATTACGGGTAGCATAATCTCTGAGGAAACAAGAACATTTAAACTCAACTCTCTGGCAGTCTATAGCAGTCCCAGCACAACTACTACATTAATAAAGCTAGTGTTTTAGGTATAAACTTGGTAGAAATACATCCAGACATGCATATACTGGAGCCAAGGAGAATAAGCTCCTGATGATGGTGACAGAAATTAGGGTTGGGAGTCTTTTTTTTTTTTTTTAATGAAAACCCAGATGAAAGCAAGTTAGCTATTGAGCATTAGTGGTGAACTTTTAAGATGAGCAAGTTCATTAAAAGCTGAATGAAAAGTTTAGGCACCTGAAGTTGGATTCTATAGAGTGGAAGGTGACAGAAGCAATATTTCATAAAAGTCAAGACAACTTTTAATAGCACTAGTTTATCATTTGATAAATAAGCTGCTGCAACCCTGCACGTAATATCTCACATGCTGTATGGTGGATCAAAAGTCCCCATCTGCCACTGGAGTGTGATCTCAGAGGAGATCCAGTCTTGGTGCCCTTTTCTCTGATCATAACAGCAGAACAATATCACTGGGAGAAATAGGAATCTGGACTGATGGTGGAAGCTGCAAGCTTCAAAGCCCTCACTCCTTAATAGTGCCCAAGACTTAGGAGAAAATGGGAACGCTTAAGAAAGACAACACCCTGCCTACGTTTAGGTGTGAATTCCAGTTTTTATTGGTATAAACATGTATAATTTAAACAAGAGCTCTGACAAAAGGAACATGCTTTCTTTTTTTGTATGATGCACAAATATCAAGGAAACAACAAATGAAGACAGTATTTTCCTTTGATAACTTGGAGAATATGTAATGTCAGAACAGCCAAAATTCAAGGATATGTCACTCCTCTCAGTAGATAATTCCATGACATAACAATGATTTCAGGTTGCTTGCATCTGCTCTTGCAAAGGAACAGCTGAAGAATATTTATGTACCCATAATTACAGTCCCTACTACTGAAGCAGCACACTTTTGATTTACAGTCTGTCAGTATTCTATTACATACTTCTATTTTTCAGAGGTCAATAACTTACCAATTAAAAGGCTGCATCAGCAGGAAATGAGATATACAGAAAGCCTATGTCTCTTAATTTGTTTTTCTTCTAGTTCATGACAGAAGAGAAACACTTTTGGTTCCAATAATTTATGGCAACATTTTGTCATGTGCTATCTTCAAATTGGCCTGCTTCCTGAAATTAAAATGTTATAGGTTCGCTCTCAGAGAAGCAGCTAAATACATGCATATGCACACACAAATAAAGAAGCAGCCAAAATATAGCCAGTTGTTAAATAAGCAATCATTAATTGCCTAGATTACTCATCCTTAACAGGAGTTGAATTAAGCTTTAGTTGAAAAACTCCAATTACATTCAGAGATAATAAAAGGGTAATTATTTTTCTTTCCTGCACCTAGAAAGGATGCATGGATTTTGAACTTGTTAATTTGACAGTCCCTGCTAAAATAAAGCAACAACTCAAGGCCACTAAATTAAAAAAATATATATTGGTCCAACGTTAGGCTCATAGCTGATACATCTGTGTTAGGAACTTTAACAAAGAAACAAACCTACCAATAAACAATACAAAATCTTACTTCAATTGTTAATACATAATAGTTTGATGGTAAATGGATTGTGAACAATTGGATATCCACCTGGACTGAGTCTTCCAGTGTTGAAATAGCATGGTGACAGAGCAAACTCAGTCTCTCATCTGCATAATGCAAACCATTTCCAGGGCAAATTTGATCTTGACAGTGAGCATTTGATCAACCAGAAACCTAATGCACATTATTATTCCTCTTCCTGATGTTTCCTTTTCAGAGAAATCATGTAAATTGAATCAGTGCATTCATGTGATTATGATTTAATTATGGTATTTACTAGATATGATTGGTATAATTCATGTTTTATTGTGTATTATGTTACCACTGTGAGCTGCTCAGAGTTTTGATGATGGAATCAGCACATAAGCAACATATATACAGAACATACACAAATGTGGAATAGAGTGAGGTTGAGTCTTGGGTTACAGCTACCTAAATGGTGAAAAGCAGTGGTTTACACTACTTCAGGGCCAAAAATGAAGGGACAAAGAATGCCCCCTTCTCATTTCCATTTATAAAAGGCAACTGGATTTGTAGTTTAATTCAATTTCAACACCAGCATGGAAAAACGTCTTCTATGGCACACAAGGGCTTGGCTACCATTCCCCAATATCTACCTCCATCCATCTCATTCTGCCTAATGATAAAGTGAATTTAACATCGCTCCTACCTAAATATGGAAGTTAGACATAAAATCATGGAGTTGAAGACCTTGGAGGTCTCCTAATCTATTCCCCTGCCAAGAGCAGGAATTCTCCAATCATCCCAAATGGCTGTCCCACCTTTGTTCGTGGGACAAACCACCAGTCATGGAGCACCCATGATCCCAGGTGGCAGGCTTTCCATTCTTAATAGCTCTTACAGTCAGGAAATTACCCTTTATTCCAACTTTGGATCTCTCTCTATAAAACTTCCATCTACTGATTCTTGTCCTACTCTCAAGAACTCCAGAGAATACACCCACATTCTCTTCCCTGTGATAGCCCTTCACATATTATGTCAAAAACAAACAAATTACATTAACCTAGTCAACATCTATAACTGTAGATAGGCTAAGAAGAGATGGAGAAGAAAAAGGCCATATACGGTTACGAAATTGATCATTACAGTTAACCCTTACTTCAATGAGTCTTTTATTCCAGCAGTGATGAATTCGCCATTACAAGACTTGAAGGACTATGTTGGGAACAGAATATCCTGGACAAGGTCTATCTACATGGTCATTAAGAATCAACACCAACCTGATTGTGCATAAACAATCAATTATGAGCCTGTTCAGATGTTAAAATCTTGGGAGAGTCCCTTCTGAAGATGCCTCCACTATCAAGCATGGAGGAGACGACCTTCTACAGCCCTTCTGTGCTGTGAAATATGCTCTTTTGCATTTAGAAAAGCAGCCAAGGCTCTTTCATGAGACTTTAACCATTACTTCCATATTTGCATTAGTTTAAATTTACATTTTAATTGGGGGGTTATTCTGTATTTTAATTAAAACTAGCAGCTTTAAACATCTGACTGAAGGAATAACAAATAATAATAATTGTTACAGATTGGAAATAAAAGAAAGTTTGCAGATTGTTGCTGACCCCATGCAGTAACAGTAAACTTAACATTCAACCAGACAGTGTCAGAGAGCACAACCTGGTCTGTTCCAGCAATACAGGCAGTTCCAGGGTGATAGTCAGTAATCGCCACAAAGGAATAAGCAAAAGAGTCAACCAAGTCCCATCCATCCACAAGTTGCAGCCAACAGCGTTTTACTAAGTCAAAGGTATGACAGGTGGCACAGTCAATAGATGTACAGGATTCCAAGAGACCACATACATCAATACATATCTGAACCTCTAAGCCCAGAGTGATAAGGGGGCAGCTTGCAGAGGCTGCTTCCAACAGTTTACACAAGTTCTACCAAAGCTCAGCTAGAACAGATTACTTCATAGCTGGTACCAATTACTCCCAAGGAGTCTAGCCATTCAGCTCACTGAGTTTCCACATAATGGCATCAGTTCTTTGGTCATCTAACTTGGACTCTGCCAAGGTAGATGGAAAAGGTTTTGGTTCAGGTTATGTAAGTGGACCTCTGGAGGAGCTCACAATTGGTGCTTCTGGGCACTTGACTCTTGCTTCTTCCCATTTCTTCTCTGAGTTTCAGCTGGATATCACACTTTTTTGAGCAATCTGTTCAAATTTTTTGCAAGAGTGATCACAGGTTCCATGCAGCAAGGAGGGAGGAAGTCGGGAAGAAAAAGAGAAGAGTTAGAAGGGATGGAAAAGAACAGAGTGAAAAGGGCTGGCATCACCCAGTTTTTATCATGGCTCCAACTCCACTATCCTTGGGCCCTATCTGCCACTGCCATACCATCCCCAAGAGATTCCTCTAAGAGAATCTGGCCTTCCAGAGAGAGAGAGAAAGAAAGAAAACTTTCTCACCCTTCCTATAAGAGAACTATAAAGGCCTTTAATGAATTCCTAATCAAAGAATGGTGGATGGAACCACAAAGATCATCAATCCAACACAACAATGTTCAGGAAAACCAAAAAACCATTTTTGAAAGGTAGCTGCCTAGAATCCTATGCCATACTCAGTCATTTCCAAGCCAAGCACAATGAAAGCACGTCAAATATTCCATATTGCCAAGAAAATTAGAAATTTGAGGGAAAAGCAAACTGCTGCTCCTTGTGAGGTTGATCTTCAGTCTGGCAGAAGTAGATTCAAATTTAGCAATAGGAATTACAGGGGACTCCAATTCTGCTTGACCTTTGGGGAGGAAAGTCAGCTTTTCAGAAGACTAAAGACTAATTTTCTCTCTCTAGAGTTGCAGCAAACATTTCTGGAAATGTGGAGAGTGCTGCACTCATCTAGGTGTAATTTGGCAGCTGACAACAAAATTCAGAGATCTTGCCAAACAATCAACAAAGCACTTGTTGGCCAAGTTACAATTCCATTTCTGCAATAACAAAAAGATTAACTTAGAAATTGCACATTATTTTTAACCTATCTGAAATCAAAGTTTGAATGCTCCTGCACTACAGAATATATTGTTGAAGGCAAATATTTCATCTACCCAGGAAAATAAAAATGCCGCCTTGGCTTTGCAGGGAAATGTGAGCAGTACTGAATGCATCTATCTCTAAAGTGTAGTAATTCTCTCTCAATCTCTCTTTATATAAATAGTTAGAATCAATCGACTTGGACTGTTTTTAAAAAA